CTTTGCCCTTCAATCCTCCCCCTGCATCTCCCCCTCACATGGTCTAACCCACCATACCTTAGTGGAATGATAATCATGATAACTGCCTTCTCATGGACATGCCAACCAAACAGAAAAGATCCATAGGCACAAAGAGTTAAACAGCGTAAGAATCCTCTAGCACCATCAGGTCTGTACCATATACGAAGTAGAGCAGGCTGGAGAATAGGAACAAAAGAAAGAAATTATATTAACTGGACAAAGGAAGACGCATCAGAAGAACACTAAAAATATAAACATCAAAATAATTTCTTGCTTAATTACCATGATTGACAAGAGTGTTAGGATGACTGTTGCTATTGGAGGTACTGATGGCAAAATAAGATGCTGTGATTGGCCAACTAATCCCCCTGTCATGGATGCCTGAACTTTGACAGCATGCTTATGGATCAAGCCAGCTTTGGGTCCTGGTAGTATAAGCAAAACAACTCAGTAAGATTGAAAAAAGGTAGGCAGACAACAGGTAGACAGACAACAGTTAGACAAACAGACAAGGAGTAAACAGACAAACAGACAGACAATAGGCAGACAGACAGACAGCAGGTAAGAGTAGACAGATGGACAACAAACAGACAGACAATAGGCAGACAGACAGACAGACAGCAGGTACATGTAGACAGACAGCAGGTAGACAGACAGGCAACAGAGAGCATGTTACAGTATTCAATAATGTATTTACCTATGATAGCAACTGCTTTATCAACAACATTATAGAGAGCCCATATATTTGGTGCCCAATAGGCATGACAAAGACCTCTCTTGAATGGGAACAGCCTGGAAAACAACTGAGGAAGCTGATTCTGGAAAACAAAATTAAAAACTTGACTTTTAAACTTGTTCTTGACAAAGATGACAAGTCTCACACAATTTTGTGATTAGCATAAAATACTGTTGTGTTCCTTTGCTCAGGGTTGGCCTCCTTTCAGTGCTAAAATATTTATACCAATATACTGTACCAATAGTAAAGAATGTACAACTTCAGCAATACAAACTGGAAAGCATGAATATTCTACACAAAATCAAGGCCAACCCTGAGCAACACAGGATTCAAAACCAGAGTATTGCTGTAATATCATATTGAGAGTACTCACCAGTAATATGAATGGACCAAAGGACAGCACAAACACAAAGATGACAAAGAAACCAAGTTTCATAAGCCTAAGTGGGGAGAAGTCCCATAGATGAACTCCAAGCAGCCAGCTTGCTTTCTCTGAAAATATTGAAAAAGATTAAGTTAAAAAAAAAAGTCAAAATGATGTCAAAAAAATGCAAACTTCAAGTTCAGATATAAAAAACCAACCTGGTTTTTCAGCATTGCTTTTGAAACAGTACGACCGTAATAGATAAACAAAGAAAGCAGGAGCTATGTACAGGAAAATGTGCTTGAAATTCAGAAGAATTGAAAACCAAAATGCACCTTCTATATTTCTTCCCTGAAATATAAAAGAAAACAGAAAAAAAACACCAAATTAATTATGGAAACAACAGCTATTAATTCTACTGATGAGTTCAAGTTCAAGAAATGACAGATTTTATGTAGACTTGGTTGGCCAGGTATACTGTACATTGACCCTGCTCAAGTATTTACTGGATTAATAAAATAAATTCATTTCAAAATATTTTTCTAATTCTTTGTCTAATATATTTTATTCCTCATAAAATATATACTTATTTAGTTTATTTTACCTTCAAATGATATAAATAATTAAATGTCTTGAGGCGCAAGAATGCAGATAAACATGACATATATGACACAAATCCTTAAATTGGATGTTTAATATGAATTAATAATCAAACATACAATAATTGATTATGATTACAGTAATGTAATGTAGTGTTTACCTCAGATATTCTTGTGATAGAGAGTAAGAGCATACCAAAGAGAAACCCATTATACTGGAAGTGAATGTCTAGACATGGTTAAGGTCAGTTATTGTAGCTAGCTTAAAAGCAGAAAGAATTTATTACCCAAGAGGTCAAAGAATGGTGGCTGTATCTTTAACAGCATGACACGTACGTGATGAACCCTTGTTAAATTAAATTGCATGTGAGGGAGAAAACACGCAAGAAATGCTGAACTCTTGATCTAGGACTACTTTAAACATTTGTTGAATGTAATAATGCAAAGAGGGTTATTAGTTTTTAATAAAATTACATTGGGTATTCTCTGATGCTTCTCTGGTATGACTCATCTGAGGTAGTCATAACAAAAGAAACACTATATGCCGCATATGGTCCACCCCATATGGCTGTGTGCTCTAAGTAGGGTCTAGGAGTTGAGGGCCAAATATCTTAGATG